GGGGCGGCGCCATGGCGGCGCTGGCGCAGGCGCAGGTGTAGGCGCTGGGCCTGGTGTAGGCGCTGGCGCGCCACCTGCTGGGCCCCAAATGGCTAGTATGATGCATGCAATGATGTGCGCAATGTGCGCACATGCCCAGCGATCGCCATCGCTCCTCCGCCTCTTGCTCTTCCACCTTATCCACCTCCCCTCCCATCACCACGTCCACTCTAGCTTCGCCATCCTCCAAGCGACAGCTGCAATTCCACTCGCTGAAACCCCCAAGCGATCGCCATCGCTGCAATCTGCACTCGCTGCAAACTAATCTACAATCCCTGCAACCACAATCGATCATCATCGCTGCCCTGCCCAACCGACCTCAAGCGATCCCCATCGCTGTCCTGCACCCTACACCCCCCCGAACAACCATCCCTACACCAAGCGATCATCATCGCTGCCCCTCCTCCACCACTCCCTATTCATAGCCACAATCGGCTATCTAGTCGTGTGCGAGCACACGCATGCAGGCTGCATCGTCGCAGCACCCCTGCCGATCAAGTGTGGATGCCGAGCTTCTTCTCCTGTTTGCGCACCCACTTCTTAGCCGCAGCGATCGCCTTGTCGCTGCTGCCGCCGTGGTCGCTGAACTTGATGGCCATCGACTGGCCTGGACCTTTCGCACCCGTGCGGCACATGACCTGGTTGCGGGACCATTCCACCGCATATGCGGGTTTCGGTGGTTTCTTGACCCCCTTCGCGCCCACGTGCTCGGCCTCAGTCTTCTTCTTCTTCTTGTTCTTCCTCTTCGCAGTGGCCTTGGCTTTGGGGGGGCGCGGGGTGGCCGTCGCCAGCGGCCTTGCGCTTCTTCTTCATCGGCGGTGGCGGCTCCGCCTCCTCCACGCCGTCGGTGCTCTTGTTATCGGAGTCGCCCCCGTCGCTGCCCTCCGACTCGTCTTCGCTCGACGGCGTCTTGGCCACATCTGGCAGGCATTGTTTGCCGCCGAGCTTCGCGAAGATCTTGTCCCTGGCCTCCTCCACGCTGTGCGTCGTCGGCGGTGGCGCCGACTCCGTGTCGCCGATCGGAATCGCGCCGTCCGTGGCGGGCGCAATGGGCTGCGGAGTGTAACGCCTGCATGGCACGCCGTCTCGCGCACCTTGGCGGCCGCCACCCTGCATCGTCATCGCCCTTTCCGCGAGCTGCAACGCCATGTCGACGGACGACCGATTGCCATCGGACGTGGCCTTGAGGCGAGCCTTGGACTCTCGCATCGGGACCGCGTCGCACAGCACCATCAACATGGTGCGGTCCAGCGGGCACTCGTTTGCTGGGGCCTCCCCTCCGCCACCATACGCGCGCGAGTACCACTCGGGGTGCACCTTCGGCATGTCAGTCGGGTCCGCAGGGAGCTCGCTGACGAAGGACGGCTCGGTCGCGGCAAGCTGCTTACACAACTTCCACGGCAGGAGCTTCTTGGCGTATGTTTTCGCCCGCTTGAAATAGCCCCACTGTGCCATCGGACACATGCGCATCGTCCAATCGAAGCCGTCCACGAGGAGGGCGACGCACGCCGCCAGTTGAACCGTCGGCTCATGCAGCGTGCGCCACCCGAGGGATTTACAAGCCTGCAGGACGACCGCAACCCGACCCATGAAGTCGTTGCGCTCGTCCAGGATCTTGTCCCACTGCCTCTTCGTGAGGTAGGCGAGGATGGACGAGAAGTCCTGCATCGGCGTCCTGCCCGACCCCGCCAGCTCCGCGCTTGCGGCCGCGTTAGCGGCCAACATTTGCGCTGAGGCCGTCGCCAACGTCGTGACGCGGCCGAGCAGCGTGGCAAGCGCCCTCTTGCCGAAAGGCATCTGGCCGATCTCCAGGACCAGCATGGCCGAGTCCTCGGCGGAGATGAAGGTCCACGGCGCCATGATGGCCATCGCCATGGCGCTCTGCGCCTCCGCGATCTCCTTGTACGCGTCGGACTTCTTCCCGATCTGGGCGAGGACCGACTTGGCGGCCTTCAGCTGCTTCACCAGGTCGGCCGCCATGGCGCCCGCGGGCGTCACTCGCGTCGCGCACGCGGGCGTCACCCGCGACTACAAAGCCGACAACGGCTATGCACAGCGATCGTTCAAAACGATTGCCGCCTACTTAAGTTAGCGATCGGTATCGCTTCTCTGCTTCTCCCTCCTCCTCCCCGCCCTCCCCCAAGCGATCGCTGTCGCTTCTCCTTCTCCTCCTCCTCCTCCTCCAAGCGATCGCCATCGCAACCTCCCCCCATCCCCCTCCTCCTCACACAAGCGATCGCCATCGCTACATGCCCCGTCCCTCCCCCTCCTCCTATGATCCCTCCTCCACCTCCTCCTCCTCCTCTCTTGTTTTTGCAACCCGTAGGGTTCGGTCCGTGCACGTCCTACTCCCCCCTCCCCCCCTCCCCCAAGCGGTCGCCATCGCTGTTCCCCCCGTCGCCCCTCCTCCTCCTTCTGGGGGAGGTGAAGCGACGGCGATGACGATGAGGAGAAGGAAAAGAGATGAGGATAAGGAAAGCGATGTCGATCGCTGAAAGGAAGGTGGATGATGATAAAGGAGATCACTGAGCGCCGCGCGCAGCCGCTCTGCCTCGTGGAGGCGCGCGGGGCTCGCGCGCGCGGGGCGCGGGGGCGCGATGTGGGGTGCTCCGCGCGAGCTCGCGCAGGGGGCTCGCGCTTTGGCGCTCAGGCGCCAGCGCGACAACCTGCTGCAGCAGCTCGCGGAGGCGGATACCCCCTCCTCCCAGCGATCGCCATCGCTCTCCCCCGAATCCTCCTCCTCCGCTTCCTCCCCTTCCTCCTCCTCCTCCACCTTATCCCTCTCCCCCTCCCCCCGCCTCTGCAGACTGTCAACGCGGAGCAGACAGAGCGCGCCGTGCAGCTCTCGCTGTGGCTGGAGACGACGACGACGGCGGCGGCGACGACGACGACGAATGAGGCGGAGCGCGAGCTAGCGATCGCGATCGGCGAGAGGGACGCGGTGCTGCGGCGGGAGGCGGAGCTGAAGGCGGAGAACGCGCAGCTGAGGAAGGAGGCGCAGGGGGCGCAGCTGCTGCGGAGGGAGGAGCAGGCGCGCCTTCAGGCGGAAAATGCGCAGCTGAGGGCGGAGAAGGCGGAAAAGAAGAAGAAGAAGGAAGAAGAAGGAGAAGAAGGAGAAGGGGGCGGCGGCGAAGGCGAAGGCGGCGGCGAAGGCGGCGAAGGCCAAGGCGGCGCGCGCCGCGGCGAAAGCGCCAGCGGCGGCGAAGGCGCCGCCAGCGCCGCCAGCGGCGCCAGCGGCGGCGAAGGCGCAAATGCCGCCGCCGTCGACTCCGCCACCGCGGTGAGGCCGCGCGCCCGCAAGCGCGAAGCGCGCCGCGCGCCCGCAAGCGCGAAAACAAAAGACCAGCGATCGTCATCGCTATCCCCTCGTCCTCTTCCCCCCACCCCGCCCTCCCCCAAGCGATCACCATCGCTTCTCTTCCTCCTTCCCGTCCTCATCCTCCTCCTTCCAAGCGATCGACATCGCTTCACCTCCCCCAGCGATCGCCATCGCTCCTCCTCCTCCTCCTCCTCCTCCTCCTCCTCCTCCTCCAAGCGATCGCCATCGCTACCTTCCTCATCCCCCTCCTCCTCACCCAAGCGATCGCCATCGCTTCTCCTCCTCCTCCCCATCCAAGCGATCGACATCGCTACCTTCCCCATCCCCCTCCTCCCCACCCAAGCGATCGCCATCGCTTCTCCTCCTCCTCCCCATCCAAGCGATCGACATCGCTACCTTCCCCATCCCCCTCCTCCCCACCCAAGCGATCGCCATCGCTACCGCGGCGAGCACCCACCAGGCGGCGCCGCGACGAGCTCCAGGTCGATGGGCAAATCCCAAATCCTGAAAAACCTCTTCAAATCCAGGTAACCTCCCCAAATCCAGAAAACCTCACCAAATCCAAAAAAAGATTTCCCCAAATCCGAAAATCGTTCCTGAAAACTACATCCACCTCCTCCTCCTCATCCCTCCTCCCCCTCCTCCTCCTCCTCCTCGTCCTCATCCTCGCCCTCCTCCTCGTCCTCCTTTGCGTGGGGGCCGCGGGCCGCGACGTCCCTGCGGCGCGGCGGGCGGGCGCGCGGCGGGAGGGGAAGAGAAGCGAAGGAGCGATGGAAGGAAGTTATAAGTTACGTATAAATAACATATGTGTTACTTATAAGTATTGCATATCAGCACGGGTAAGTAACTTAGCGGTAGTTATAAGTATATTCCAGCGTCATTAATAATCAGCGAAATACTTATAACTAACCCAAGTATAGTTATGCGACAAGACAAATACTTAAGGGCACATAGAAATAATTAGAAATACTTAGGTACTTATCCCTTGCTATAAGTATCTTATACCTAGCTGTACCTATGGTGCAACTAGCATAAGAACCACCATTCTCGAAGCGCGCGGGGGGCGTCCGGGACCGGAGGGTTCCGCGGGACCGGGGAGGGCCCGGGACCGGGGGGGGTCCGGGGCCGGGGGGTTCCGCGGGACCGGGGCGGTCCGGGACCTGGAGGGGTTCGGGGCCGGGGGAGGTCCGTGACCGGGGGGGGTCCGGGACCGAGGGGATCCGGGGCCAGGGGTCACCATGGATGGCGTCCTTGACCGTCGCCCACATCTGATGCGGCGGGTGAGGGTGAAGGCCCTCGTGCAACGTCAGGTTGACGTTCTTGACCGTAAAGTACCGCACGATCAGCCAGTAGCACTCTGGGCGCACCACGCGCATACTCCACGATGTCCGCTACCTGATGGTGGTCGGGCACGATGCGTGCGCAATGCGTTGAGGGTCGCGCGCCGTGCCCTTCCATGGTAAGCGGCGTACGTGTGCATGCATCTCGGCGAGCATGTCTCGCCACCCACTCCCATGCCCGTTAGAGATCTTGACTTGCGACGGCGGCGTGCGACAGCACTTGGGAAACGTTTAAAAACGTTCAGGTAGGTAGCCCCCTTGTCTTGGAGCGACACCTGGGGCTGAAGGAGCGGCCGCGCCGCCGTCTTCACGAATTGCCACTTGCCGATGTTGCTGTTCATGGACTGAACTGGCACCTTGCGGCCTCAGCGCGCTACCGATCGATGATCGGGCACCCTGATGGCGAGCAACGCTCGCGCGTCGCGCAGTGTGCATGGCGGCACTTGTACAGAACCCGCCCCAATCTGTTGCGCATGGCGAGCGATGCTCGCGTGCATCAGTGCGGGCACAGCTCGCAAGTGGAGTGCGACCTAAGGCGCTGACAGTTGGCGCCCAGCGCAGTCTCCGTGAACACCGCCCCGCCCTTGTGCCACGCGATCCGAGGATCGAACAGCGTGACCGACGGGCCCTCGTCTATCGCGAGGAACGCGTACTCGGCGCAGACGAACGCGGCCATGGCGCGCGCGGGGGCGCGCGGCGCGGCGCAAACGTGGACGCGATCTGCAATCGCTGCGGCACGGGTCGGGGCGCGATCGACTCCGAGTTTTCGGAAGAGGTGAGAGGAGGAGGAGGATCAGGATGAGGCGGAGGAGGAGGGGAATGAGGAGGGGTGATGTTAATTGTGTCAGGTGATGGCGATGCACATGATCGCCTTTCAACCGAGCGCGTGCGCAACCGCGCGGCTCGGTAAACGCCTAGGGGTCAACGAATTGACCAAACAGGTTGACCTGGCGCTTGGGGCGCGACGCCGAGGACGTCGCCACGGGCGACGCCGCGGGCGACGCCGAGGGCGTCGCCCTCGAGGGCGTCGCCTCAGGTGACCACCCATTGTCGGGCATGCTCGGCTGCGGGTGAGCCTGAGCTGCCGACGCTGTCGCCTCAGGTGAACCCACGCTGTCGACGCGAGCGTCGCTGCTGTGCTTGGTGTCGTAGATCATCTGCAAGTTCGCCTCCGTGAGGCGAACGCCGTCGACGTATTTCTCCCAATCCTGTGGGTATGCCAACTGAACCTACATAGCAAGGGAAAGATGAAGAAGAAAGGAGGGATGGGGTCAGTAGGATATCTGCATGCGCGAGCATTGCTCTCGCGTGCATGCGAATCTGGACGCCGCGCGGTCCTCGCAATGCGCTGGAGTCGCGTGGGACTCCGTGGGGCCTTCCGTGGTCATGTACTTCACGACCATGGACCAGATGATTCCACCTGTCGGCTGGGGCCGCTTGATCCACTTTACGTTCGGCGACACCAGCTCAACAGGCGGGTCGCCGTCGGCCTCGCGCTTGTAGCCGCGATATTGCACGTGAACATTTGGCAGATCAGGAAGTGCATCGCGCCTCGCCAACCAAATCAAGAAGTCCGACTTCGAGCGCACATTGTGAATCTTCTGCGGTCGAAAACGTATGGGGGTGCGGGCACGCGTGGGCACAATAATTGATGTTATCCTCGCTGAACTCTAGGTACAGCTTCTCGCCCTTGTTCGGCGTGGCCTTGACGAGCAGTTGGGTCGGTCCGAAGGACCGACCCATGCTGTTGAAGGGCGGGTACGTGATCACCACACACGTCGGCACTCTGGCTGACAAGTAGAGCTTGCCCCGACGCCCCGCCGTCACGATTGCCGACGGATCATCGGCCAGTGGGTCCTAGCGGCGGTACAAGTTGCGAGCATGCTCCCATGCCGTATTAGATCGCGAGCGAAGCTCGCATGCACGAAACAAATTCGGAATGCAACGACCTGCGGCTTGTTCTTCTCGATGTGGCTGTCCACTGCCGCATCGCGCGACGCCGTAAGCTGGAAACACCACTCGGCGCCCTGCATCGGGTTGCCGCTGTGCATGCCATAGCCGAGGAACCTATAGCTGGAACGTCTGCGCGCATACATACGGCACGAACTACGCGCGACACGAACGACAACAAAAAACAACAACAACAAAAAAACGGGACCGAGCAAACTCTCGGTTCTGTTGGTCTATGCGAACGAACTCCTTCTCTTCGATCGTCATCAAGTCGGGCAGCCATGGGTGCCACTGCTTCACGCCGCTGCCGCCGTAGACCGCCACGGTGTCGCGTTGCACCCTCGCAGGGCGAGGGTCTTGCGGCGCCATGGCGCCCACCGAGCCCGATCCGCCGCGAGCGCGCGGCGCGCCGCACTGCTTCGCGGTGCTTGAGGAGCTCGCGTGGCGCACATCACACTCTGCTCACCACGTGCGTCGATCAAGTGCGTTGCGCTGCCTCGGCGAGCATTCTCGCCACATTGGCACTGATTGCTGTCGTGGTATGGAGGCGGATGGGAGGTGAAGAGAACGAGTTTCGAGCGTCCACGCGCTTATAAGCAGTCGCATGGTCGATGTGAGACAGGGCGTCAGCACAGCTCATGCGCCCCGCCCCCTCCCTCGACCAGGGGCCTTGCCGCCCTTGCTGCCACCCTTGCTGCCCTTGCCGCCCTTGTCGCGGTTGGCGGCGCCGTCGCCGCTGCCGGCTGCGCCACCCGCGCCGTCGCCACTGTCCTGGAGCGGACCCATAGTGAGCTGGCCCTCTTTGATGTCCTTCACGTTGGCCCACGTCGGGAAGCTCACTGCCTTGCCCATGATTGAAATTTCAGTCGAGCGCAGCTCGACGTTGTGGGCTCCCGCGTGGACCAGCTGCACATACCAGAATGGGGTCGACGAGAACTTTTCCTCGCCGAGGCGGTCACGATGTTTCCTAAGCGTGGCCGCGTACGTGGTGCCGTCCAGTTCAAGCACGGACGGCAGCACGACAGATGCAACGAAGTCTCCGCCAACGGAGATTCGCATGTCGGGCGAGTTGCTCTTGTCGGCGCTGATCCTGTCATACGCTGCAACGATCTGCAGCTCGCCGATCTTGAGGGGGGTCTTCGCAATCAAGTTCACCCTGCTATTATCCTGGGCTGTACGGGTGGCGTGACGTCATTGCATCTGTCTGTGCCGCATGCAGAGCTTAGCTCGCATTGGGGCGGGATCGGGGGGGCCTTATAAGTCGTGAGTGCGAGCGTCGCTCGCGAGTTTGCTACACCGCGGGGCCTCCTGCTGTATGTACGCCAAACTTTCCCCACCGAAGATCTTGACGTCTTCGATGGCGGTGAGTGCGACACGCAGGCGCGCCTTCGTGTCCTCGATCGCCGCATCCTTATTCCCACGCCGAAACTTGTCGAGCTGCGCGCAATCGACAACCTGGCACGCACGCATCATACACATCCTCGCCCCCCCGCCCCCCCCCCCCCATCCACCAAACAACCACTGCCAAGACAATGCGACCCTGTCGGCGAGCAAAGCTCGAAGTGTTGGGTCTATGCAACGAATTACAAAAACGAAACCTTGGGTTCGCTTTTCACGACCACAGTGTGGCCGCCGAGGACCTCGTTCACCTTCAGCATGCTGACATCATCAGCCGAACCACGTGCGTGGACCGTCTGATCATCGATGGCAGTGATCACGTAGCTGGTCACCTCCGTATCTCTACGCTTGTCGACGGCGGCGATGGTTGCGCCAACCACGAAACCCTTGGCCTGAAAGGTCAGCGGGTCGACGTCGCCACCGCCAGATAATGACACGTGCGCCATCCCCTGGCCTTCTTCGGCGCACGGGCATCGACCTCATCGTCGCCGACGCCTGTCTCGATGTCGAGCCGCGGCAACGGCACGTTGCGCACATGCAGCTCGTCGGCGTTCATGGCCTCCCAGAAGTCGGCCACCACGTCGACCATAGAGGTGTACTGTTTGCGCCCTTCGCACGTCTTGTCCAACACCTGGGCTTACTACGCGCGCGCGTGCGCAAGCGAGCATCGCTCGTCATCGGTCGCTTCCTGGCGAGCATCGTTCTCGCCCCCGCCCACCGCTTCCCAGCGAGCATCGCTCGTGGCCCCCCGCCCCAGTACCATCATGACCAGGCGGATGTCGAGCTGCGACAGGTGCTTAAGCCTGGCGAGCTCGCTGGTGTGCGTGTAGGCCGTCGTGAACTGCCTGCACGCATGCATGATGTTGGCCGCTCGCACGGCCTTGCTCCTGTTCTTGCCGCCAGGGGACATGGACTTGTAGTCAGATGCGTTCAAGAGCGTGCTCTCGCCGCCTGGCGTCGCCCACTTAGGGGGCGACGCAAATTGCGCCTCGATCACCGCCAATATCCACAGCGGGCCCTCCGCGAACTGCAGCTGGCTGAGCGCCTGGAGGCTGTCAGCCGCGATGGTGCGCTTTGTGCTGAGGGGCCGCTCGAATTGCTCGAGGACGTCGAGCATGGCCCCCTTTCACACCACTCCACGCTCTGACGAAAGCGATGCCCGCACTGTCCCGCCATGGCGGTGATGAGTCAGTCGTGCAGGGCACGCATCTTCCTGGACCCCCCGCCCCTCACCCCCCTGTCGCACTCGTGCCTGCCATCCTGTGCCCTCGTCCCGAGGCGGCGAGTGCGCTCGCCATGGGCGGTGGCGATCGTGGCGTGAGCCGATCTAGCACGGCAGCTCCCTCTCGAACTCGCTCGGCATGCCGAGCGCCGCGACGCGCTCCACCTTGGCCCAGTCGTCGGCGGTGTCGAGGCTCGTCTGCGCGCGAGCGATGGGCCACACCTTTTTCACTCGCCGCACCGTCGTGGCAACGCGTGCCGCGCCGTGGCCAGCGTTGCCAGACTGCGCCAGGAGCTTCATGAGCTCGGGGCACCGCGCCACCAACAACGAGCTGATGACGCTGTGCCGCAAGCCGCGCTCGAGTGGCTCTTTGAACGACGGCTGCCGCTCACATATGCGAGCCATCGAGATGCGGCCAGACGCGTCCGAGATGTCCGCGTTCATGGACCGCGCCGCGCCGTGGATGCAGCGCAGCGTGGCCGTGGTGTGCGAACATCGCACCGTGGCGATCTGAAGCTCGCTGGGATCCTCGATGAGGGGCAGCAGGGAGTCCGACCCCACCGCCAACTTCACGTTGAAGTCGCGGATCGTGGTGTCGCCGTTAGGGACCCGCAAACCCGCTGTGCGCAGGTTTGCACGCTTGCCGATCCGATCTTGCGAGATGGCGCTCGCAATAGCGCGCAAGGCACGCATGTCTCGCTTGCGCCAGTCGTGCTGCACGAAACACGGACGCGTGTCTTGACAGCAGTGGGGGAATGGCGCAAGCCGAATGGCTCTCGCACGCGAGCGCCTTCGACGTCTCGTCGTCGTCCCAGCCCTTCACCACCAGGATGCCGAGGAGGTCGTGCACGTCGTATGGGACGAGGCCCGCGCCGTCCCTGTTGTCAGGGTGCACGGCCGCCTTCGTCGCGCGGACGTGCTTCGACTCGCAGGGGTCGAGGGCCTTGATTGCGCTCAGGATCCGAGCCTGGAACGCACTGACGCCCTCGACCTCGTTGCCGAGGTAAAACGGCTCGATCTGCTCGTTGATGAGCGGCGCCAGCGCGATGGCGCGCTCCTCCTTCGAGCGCTTGGACCTCGCGCCAGCTACACTGGCCTTAGTTACACATGTGCGCGTCGCGTGACACTCGAGAGCAAAGCTCGCCATTGGATTCTGCGAGCATGCTCGACAACATTGCAACGCCACAGCAACATACCGCGTCACGCGAGCAAAGCTCACCGCGGATTATGCGAGCATGCTCGCCAACATTGCAACGCCATGTACCGCGTCACGCGAGCAAAGCTCACCGCGGAAACTAAGGCGGATACCTCCCGCGCGGCCATGACTGCGACGTTCGACAGCGCCATATAGATCGCGACGCGACTGGTACAGCTCGGGCAAGGGCGGCAAGGGCGGCAAAAGGCTGCGGCACTCGGACCAATACTGCTACACAATAACAGAAAACGGAAAACTGAAAACTGCAGTTGGGAAAAAATAAGCAGAACACAGAAACTGACATTGGGAAAAAGCTCTGTTTAAAAAACACCGAAAACATACAACTGAAACCGGACAAACAAATCAAACGCCTGAAAAGTGTATTGGCGATGTTGTAGTTTAGATTCTGATAGTTATCGAATAGTTTGCTGCATGTTGGGGTCGAATAGTTATAGGGTAGTTGATGGATAGTTGCGCAAACTATTCATAAACTATCATACGATTATTCTACATGTATTCATAAGCTATTCATAATCTGCTCGATCTCTATTCTGAGATAGTTTGAGGCGGGCCTCAAAGAAGGAGCTCCGCCAAGGGCCCCAGTGCCACCGCCCGCAAGCGTCCCCCATTCCGTTTTCGGCACACCCCTCACGCGTTTCGCGGCCTCACTAGGGGGCTCCACCCGCCCGCATACGCCCCCCACATTCATGTCGGCACACCCCTCACACGCGTCGTGGCCCCACAGGGAGCTCCACCCAAGGCCTCACTGCCACCGCCCGCATGCGTCCCCCACACGCACCTCGGCACACCCCTCGCGCGCTTCGTGGCCCCATGGGAAGCTCCACCCAAGGCTTCAGTGCCACCGCCCGCATGCGTCCCCCACACGTTTTTCGGCACACCCCTCACACGCTCCGTGGCCTTATGTAGAGCTCCACCCAAGGCCCCAGTGCCACCGCCCGCATGCGCCCCCCGCACACACCCCTCACGTTTCGTGGCCCCATAGGGAGCTCCACCTAGAAACCCCACTGCCACCGCCCGCACGCGTCTCCCACGCCGATTTCGGCACACCCCTTAGGCGCTTCGTGGCTCCATACGAAGCTCCACCCAAGGCCCCAGTGGCACCGCCCGCATGCGTCCCCCACATTTTTGTTCGGCACACCCCTCACACGTTTCGTGGCCCCATAGGGGGCTCCACCCAAGGCCCCATCGCCACCGCCCGCGCGCGTCCCCCACGCCGCTTTCGGCACACCCCTCACACGTCTCGTGGCCCCACAGGGAGCTCCACCCAAGGCCTCAGTGCCACCGCGCCTCCCACGCCGATTTCGGCAGCACACGCCGCGTGGCCCCATATGGAGCTCCACCCAAGGCCCCAGTGCCACCGCCCGCATGCGTCCCCCAGACCGATTTCGGCACACCCCTCACACGCTTCGGGGCCCTATTGGGAGTTCCACCCAGGGCGCCCTGCGCTCTAGTGCCACCGCCCGCATGCGTCCCCCACATTCATTTCGGCACACCCTTCGCACGTTTCGTGCCCAATAGGGAGCTCCGTCACCGCCCGCATGCGTCTCCCGCATCATGTCGGGACACCCCTCGCACGCTTCGTGGCCCCATGGGAAGCTCCGCCTGAGGCCCCAGTGCCACCGCCCGCATGCGTCCCCCACATCCATTTCGGCGCACCCCTCGCACGTTTCGTAGCCTATCAGGAGCTTCATCCAAGGCCCCAGTGCCACCGCCCGCATGCGTCCCCCACAAAGATTTCGGCGCACCCCTCACGCGCTTCGTGGCCCCATGGGGAGCTCCACCCAAGGCCCCAGTGCCACCGCCCGCATCTGTCCCCCGCGCCCATCTCGGCACATCCCTCCCACGTCCCGTGGCCCCATAGGGCGCTCCACCCAGGTCTCCAGTGCCACCGCGCGCATGCGTCCCCCACAACCATTTCGGCGCACCCCTCACACGTTTCGTGCCCCATAGGCGCCACCCAAGGCCCACCGCCCGCACGCGTCTCCCGACACCGTTTTCGGCACACCCCTCGCGCGCTTCGTGGCCCCATGGGGAGCTCCACCCAAGGCCCCAGTGCCACCTCCCGCATGCGTCCCCCCACACCGATGTCCCCTCACACGCCTCGTGGCTTCAAAGGGAGGTCCACCCAAGGCCCCGGTGGCACCGCCCGCATGCGCTCCCCACGTCGATTTCGGCACACCCCATCAGGCGCTTCGTGGCCCCATGGGGAGCTCCACCCAAGGCCCCAGTGGCACCACCCGCATGCGCCCCCCTCGCCGATTTCGGCACACCCCTCGCACGCTTCGTAGCCCAATAGGGAGCTTCGCCCCAGGACGTCTTTACTTTCAGTAAGACGAGTCGCGCAGCTCCGAACATAGAACGCGCATCCTACCATGGAACGCAGATCCGACCAGGAACGCAAATCCTACAACACGGGCCGCGCATCCAACCTTGGAGCGCAGAACCGACGTTTGACATGGAGCGCTGAACATCGGCGCTCCTGGTCCTCCGGGGTCCGGGACCGGGGGGGTCCAGGACCGGGGGGGGTCCGGGACCGGGGGGGTCCAGGACCGGGGGGGGCCCGGGACCACCGGGGAGGGGGTCCGGGGCCAGGGGGGGTCCCGGACCGGGAGGGGTCCCAGACCGGGGGGGTCCCGGACCGGGGCGGGGGCCCAGGGCCGGGGGGGTCCGCGACCGGGGGGGGCCCGGGACCCGGGAGGGGGTCCGGGACCAGGGGGTCCGGGACCGGGGGGGTCCCGGACAGGGGGGTCTGGGGCCGCGGGGGAGGTCCGGGACCGGGGGGAGTCCGAGACCGGGGAGGTCTGGGGCCGGAGAGGTCCGGGACCGGGGGGGGTCCGGGCCGGAGGGGTCCGGGACCGGGAGGGGTGTACCGCCTCCTGCAGACGCTCGAGCTCCTGCAGACTCTCGACGACGCCGGGGGCTGCCTCTGGTCCGTGGCGATGGCGGGGGGCCGGGCGCTGGCCGCGGCCGGCGACGACAAGAAGGTCCGCGTCTACCGCCTCCGCGAGGAGACGGGGCGCTTCGAGCTCCTGCAGACGCTCGACGACGCCGGGGGCACCCTGTCCGTGGCGATGGCGGGGGAGGGCCGGGCGCTGGCCGCGGCTGGCGACGACGAGAAGGTCCGCGTCTACCGCCTCCGCGAGGAGACGGGGCGCTTCGAGCTCCTGCAGACACTCGACGACGCCGGGGACTGGCTCCGGTCCGTGGCGATGGCGGGCCGGGCGCTGGCCACGGCCGGCGACGACAAGAAGGTCCGCGTCTACCGCCTCCGCGAGGAGACGGGGCGCTTCGAGCTCCTGCAGACGCTCGACGACGCCGGGGGCCGGATCTGGTCCGTGGCGATGGTGTGGGAGGGCAGGGCGCTGGCCGCGGCCGGCGACGACAAGAAGGTCCGCGTCTACCGCCTCCGCGAGGAGACGGGGCGCTTCGAGCTCCTGCAGACGCTCGACGACGCCGGGGGCTGCATCTGGTCCGTGGCGATGGCGGGGGAGGGCCGGGCGCTGGCCACGGCCGGCGACGACAAGAAGGTCCGCGTCTACCGCCTCCGCGAGGAGACGGGGCGCTTCGAGCTCCTGCAGACGCTCGACGACGCCGGGGGCTGCCTCTGGTCCGTGGCGATGGCGGGGGAGGGCCGGGCGCTGGCCACGGCCGGCGACGACAGGAAGGTCCGCGTCTACCGCCTCCGCGAGGAGACGGGGCGCTTCGAGCTCCTGCAGACGCTCGACGACGCCGGGGGCCGCCTCCGGTCCGTGGCGATGGCGGGGGAGGGCCGGGCGCTGGCCGCGGCCGGCGCCGACGAGAAGGTCCGCGTCTACCGCTGATCCGCGAGGAGACGGGGCCGCCTGGCCGCGGCCGGCCCGCTGCGTGATCTACTTCCTGTGGGGCTCCGTTCTCAAGGGCCGGGCGTAGGTGGCGAGTAGAGGAGGGCGCCGGGCGACCAGGACCAGCCGTCATCCCTCTCCTCCCCCCTCCTGTTCCTCCGCTCGTCCTCCTGCTCTCTGCCACCGGCAGCTTTTCGGCGAGCGCGCCGCCTGCCAAGCTTTGCCCGCGACTCGGCGCCGCGGCTGTCCAAGGATGTTCGGCTTATTTCGGGATCAATGGAATTGTTGACGCTTCGCGTATCCCCACCAGCCCATCCAGAAACGATGCTCAGGGGAGTTGAGGTGATCAGGGAAGTCGGGGAGCATGCAGAATAGCAAGGGGCGGGGGAAGCTGTCACAGACCCCGAGAGGGGGAGGATGGAAGAGGAATCGTCGTCGTCGTCGTCGTCGGAGGAGGAGGAAGAGGAGGAGGAGGAAGAGGAGGAGGAGGAGGAGGAGGATAATGAGGAGGATATGGAGTAGGGCGAGGACGAGGAGGACGAGAAGGAGGAGAAGGAGTGGCAGAGGGAGGGGAAGGAGGAGAAGGAGGAGAAGGAGGAGGAGGGGGAGAAGGAGGAGGAGGGAGGAAGAGGAAGAGGTGGTTGAGGAAGAGGAAGAGGAAGAGGACGGCGAACCGAAGAGCCAGAAGCGTCTTGAATGCCTTTTCGGAAATCCTCTTGAGGCTTCTTGGGGGTCTCTTGGGAGCCTCTTGGAGGCCTCTTGGGCGCCTCTTGGGGACGTCTTGGCGCCTCTTGGGGCGCTCTTGGGGCGCTCTTGGGAGCCTTCGGGGCGTTCTTGGGGCCATCTTGGAGGAGATCGATCAAACAAGAGGCGAGCTCCAATTAGCCTCCCCCCTCGGGCCCCTCCTGGAGCGCTCTTGGAGCGCTCTTGGGCGCTTTGGGGGCCGTCTTGGGGCTCTCTTGGGCCTCTCGTGGGGCCCTTTTGGGCCATCTTGGAGCCATATTGAGGCCTCGGATGTCCATCGGAAGCGAAAAGGCGAGAAAGTAAAACACATTGTATTTCCTTTTGGTTTTGGGGCGATTTTGGCCTCGTCGGGGCCTCCTCAGGGAGCTCTTTGGCCACTTGGAGCCGTCTTGGGATCGTTTTGGGGCCTCTTGGAGCATCTTGGGAGCCATCGTGAGCGATCTTGCGCCATCTTGAGCCATCTTGGAGCTCATCTTGGGCTCTTTGAGGCCCCTTTGAAGCCATCTTTGGCCATCTTGGACGCTCAAGCGCGCCGCGGCCCCCCCCCGTCCATGGCCAGGGGAGGGGGTAGGGGGAGGGGCAAACCCCTCCCCAAGGGGGAAGAGGGAGGGGTGGAAGAGGATCTGCTCTAGACCACCTACGCCCAGAGGGCTGGTGGGATTCTTCACGCTTCGCGTATCCCCACCAGGAGGGTAATCATGTCTACACACGAGGCGTCCGAGGCCCTCGGTCAAAAAGACAGCCCCCACATCTTCCTCCTGGTAATCGACGAGGCAGGACAGGCCACAGAGCTCCATGCACTCATGTCCATGGTAAATTTGATCAACAGCGGCGGGACCCTGGTCCTCGTGGGTGACCCGAATCAGTTGCCCTCCGCGGTGCTCTCCAAGCTGGCGAACGACCTAGGGCTTTGTGTCAGCATTTTCGACAGGATGTTTCACGCGTTCCGCGGCCAAGAATCGTCCGTGGTTCACCTTTCGATCTGCTATCGGATGCATCCGCAGCTGCTCGCCTTTCCGAACGCAGCCTACTACGGAAAAGGCATGACGTCAGGTATCCTGGATCCGTTCAGAGAAAGGCCAATCGTCGGAGGCATCCCCTGGAGAGACACTAGCGCTTGGGAACCCGGGCGACTGACAGAGCTGGCGAAACTCACCGAGTCCGACGAGGGTGACCTCCGCGCCACCCTCGAACAGCTAGATCCGCCGCCAAGCGCAGACAAGCACCGCTTCCTGCTGGTTCACACCCTCCTGGGAAGTCACTTCAGACTTACAACCAGGCTATGCCAACCTTCCGGAGGCAGCTCAAGCCGTGGACATCGTGCGGGCACTTCTGCCCGAGCTCGACAATGGCACCTCTGTCAGAATTGTGGTCGGATACCAGCTCCAGACGGCTATCCTCATGGATGGTTGACCGCAGGGTCCCCGCCACCTTTCTGGCGTCCTGCGTAACATTAAAGGAGGCAGGAAGGGGAAGACTGGCAAGGGGAGAGGCGGCTCTGGGCGCGACGGACAAGACACCCCCGGCCCTGGACAACCCCCTCAAGACCACAGGGTGGACACTCAGCGTTGGCAACACGTGTTCCGAGAGGACCATACTGTCCATACAGCTATCAGCAATTCTTTCCCTGGACTACGGCATATTGCGGGCGAGCACATGAAGAGCGGGGCGCTCAAGCTCACCACAATCGACTCCAGCCAGGGAGGAGAGGCGGACATCGTAATCGCGCTAACTACGCGGAGCAACGGGCACCACAACTGGGGTTTCGTCGACGACGCCAAACGCCTGAACGTGGCGATCACCAGGGCCAAGCGGAATACCCTGATCTTGGGAGACGGGCGTATGTTCGCCAACGCCACCTGGTCCCAGCTTCGCGTACTCTCAGAGTACGGGCGATTGACTCGCCTTTGGGTCCGCTTTCGTGGCTGCGCCTCCGTGGGCCACAGGCTCTCCCTGGATATCGACGAGAGCTTCGACCCACTTCACGACCTCGCCTCATGGATACCCTCGCCCATCGCCTGGAGCTGCGACGCAAAGGGGGAGAACGGGCAGAACGAGCTTGACGCTGCCAAGAAGAAGGCGCGTGACGCCCAGGCCACCGGTTTCGCCGAGCGCTATAACACACCCTTGGACGAGCACTTCGGCTGGGAGGCCTTGGGTGAGCTAATCTCGGGCGGGCTCCACGATATCCTCTCGACGCCTGCCTTCCACGTGCTCATGTACTTGATGTCCGGTCTGCACCCCCACGAATTCTCACTGGCCACGACGCCGCGACAGCCGGGCAAGCTCGACCGCAAGGCGTGGTCGCACCTGGGCTTCTTGTTTGACATGTCTCTGGGGCTAGACGCAACCAATCTAGTCTACAACATGCTGTGGGCGGCAATGGTGTGGGCGCTCGGCCTGGGCACCCCCTGGGAAAACGCGAGCTACGCAGTCCCCGACGATTCCCTTCCCCCATTGCCTCACACCAGTGGCAGGCGTGTAACACTCTGGAAGCGTCGCCAGTGCAACCCCAAGGGGCTCTTCCGTCAGGTCCCCAAGGCGTGGGGCACCGCCACCAAGGACTGCTGCAGACACAGGAAGCACCCTGGAATGGCCGGGTTGGGAGAGATCCTCCGAGGCGCTCTGGGCGCGTGAGGGAATCATAGACACCGACGGCCTCCCCATGGAATCCTGCAAGGCCCGGTCGCTCCTGGTCGTCATGATGCTCATGCTCCGCGAGCCGCGAGTGTTTCTGTGGCCCTTCTCTCATGCAGAGCAGGCCGGGGACGTCATCGAAGCCATCCTGGGGTTCTGCGTCCCCTGGCAAGAGTTTCGCCCGGACTTCCGAAGCCAATTCGCCCGAACCTGGAGCCTCGCGCTGGACGACCTTGCCGACCTACACGGACGCATCGAGGCAGTCCTGCCCCACATCTCCAAGCTCGTGGCGTTTGCGCACCACCACCCGATTGCGCAGGCAGCCGGCTGCCCGCAGACCTGGAGTGAGATGGACAGGCAGGACTTTCAGTTAAAAGCGCCAATGCTTGTCCTCGAAAAAATTGTCCCGGCCGCAACTCTGACCTCCCTGGATACACGCAGCTGCTCAGTGTGTGCGCTACACGTTGCGCTGGCGGGGGCCGACGCCCCCCTGGGTCCTGGCGATCGGCTTGCGGGTCTCTCCTACATCGGTGGCGGACTTGCCTTGTCCAACACCGACCTCAATGCCCCCCCGCCGCCGACCCCCGCCCCAGGCACCAGACTGGACCCTCCATACATCCCCGACGAGAGGCTCGCACTCGAGCAGAAAAACGGCAGATTCATGTGCGACAGGTGCGGAAAGGACCATCTGCGCTCCGCCGATGGCACCTGGATCTCCGACATCACGCGCCAGATGGTCGCTCATAATCTCAGGCCTACATCAACGGCGCCAACATGGGGTGGCACTGCGACATCTGCTGGTTTCGCCACCTGGAGGGACAGGGCCTCCCAACGCCGGCAGGAGCGACATTCGCCGACAGAGTCAAGGAGCATGAACAACAGAGGACGGGTGCCAACAACGACAAGGCGAGCGCCCTCCCTTCCCTGGGACACCTCCCGCTTGGCTTTGGACGCAGCCCCCTGGCGGACACGAGGACGTTAGCGGACCTCCTCATGGCGCCGACGGGCATGAAGATCCCCGAGCGAGCCAATACCACCATTCCCATCCTACGGATCCGGGACGAGCGCTTCGGCCTCAAAGCCGCGCAGACCCAGATCTACTCCGCGCGGTGCGACACATGCCCCCAGGGGGCCCCGCTCCTCGTCTGGGACACTGGCTCCCCGCCCCTGGGATGTTTCATATGGAAGCCGGCGGAAGGCATAGGCGTTCCCGAGCAAGCTGGACTGCCCCCCATCGACAAGCGAGCCCTGGCCTGGTGGGAGCGCAAATGGAACGCTACATGGTGCTGCCGGCGCTGCCTGGTCCCGATATGGAACATAGGCCCGGCCACCCTGGATCGCATCCTGGGTCGAGACTTCAGATTTCTGTATCCAGCCAAGCCTCCAGTCCTTCCCTCGCTCAGCAGCCAGATAGGAGTCGAAGCGCCTGTGGACATTTCTGATTCTCTCCCATGGCTAGGCGTGGACGCCAAGGTCCAGGACCGATTCACCCAGGTCGGAGTAAGCAATCCCCCTGGATCCAGCGCCGCGGGCAGTACTGGTGCAACGTCAGAACAAACCCCTAGGTCTCTCGCCCAGCTTTCTGAGCTCTTGCCAGACTTGCCAGTGCCACAGGGCCCGCTCCTGAGCAACAGGAGCGTCTATAATCCCACCCTATGCGCTGAGGACCCCAGCCGACCTGGCACCGGTGGATTGTCCGCGCGGCGATCGCTGGTAACCCTCCTCCGCGACTTCCATCCTGGACTGGACTACACCTGGAGGCAGTTTTGTTTCGCCAATCGCGACAGAAGCGTCCCAGAGCCCAGGTGCGACGAGGCCTCCTTGCCCGACGAATTTCTGTCAGAGTTCCTCAGGACGATATATGGTGACTACATCCCGGACAGCTGTCTC